CTGCCTCTCCGCCGACTCCCCGGTCTTCCCCAGGCCCCCCAGAACGGCAGCCTCCCCGGTCTTCACCGGGCCCCCCAGAACGGCAGCCGGCATTGCTGCTACCCTGCTCTGGGCCCCGGGGTCTCTCAGCAAGCTCTGGAGACTTGTCCCCTGCAGCTCCCTGGCCTCACCAGCACCTGCTCTGCCTCCGACCTCCACCTCTCCTCTCACTCACGCTGGCCTTGACCCTGCGCTGGGCTGTGGCCCCCCATCCACTCCTTTCCATCACTCTGCACCTTTGGGCCCTGCTCTCTCCCACACTGCCCTTCTCTATCCAGCCCCTTGCAGGGTCTTCCCAAGCCCCCAACAAGCAACTAGGGAGAGAGAAGCTGGGCAGAGTCAGGGCGTTCTCCAGGGGCACCTCCAGGGCACCTGCAGGACAGCATCGGTGATGCCAGCAGCCGCAGCTGTTCCACCGCACGAGGCGGGTCAGCCTGAGTCAGATGCACATGCCATCGCCGGCCTGGCTCCCTCAGTCACACCCAGCCTCCCAGGCCCAGCAGCCCTGGGGTCCCGTCCTAGGAAGGCTGCACACTGACCCAAGCACTCACCACCCTGGACACCCTCGGTCACATGGTGCACAGCGGCCTCAGAGTCACATGGTGCCACGCAGTGGCACACAGGCAGGCACACACTCACACAGGTCACACACAGACGCACACAGTCACATGGCCACACGCAGTCACATGGCCACACAGGCTCGGCTTCTGCAGGTCACACTTGCCCTGCCACCCCACACTGCTGGCACTCTGGCCTCTGGCCTGCATGCTAACAGTTGTCCTTGAGTGCAAGTCCGTTACACAGAGATGGTCCCCTGCCTCCAGCGCCATGGGCCCCCTGACCCACAGCCTATCTGTCCACATCCTTCTCCCTGACCCTGGCTGCAGGGAGAGCACTGCTGCCTCTGCCAGTACCTTCGCCCTGACAGGTGGGTGGCTCCTGGTCCAGGGCCTGCTTCCCAGAACACCCAGGGTGCCCCTGCTGGGCTAGCTGGAGCTACTGCCGGATGGGGGGGGGGGCAGACGAGGATAGAGCGGAGGCCCAGGCTTCTGGGCGTGAGTCTGCCTGTGCAGTGTGGCTGGGTTGTGTCCTGTCAGCAGGTGTCCCTGCATCAGTGTATCCCAGCATGGGTCAGCGTGTGGGTCAGTAAGTGCCTTCAGGTACATCCTGTCCCTGGCCGCCCTCCACCCTCTCTCCTGCGCTGACACCCGCTCCCAAGCCTGGGCCGGGTCCTAGCCTCTGCACTGTCCCTCCCCAGTCCCCACTAGTCTGGCTCCAGCCACAGCCTCTGGCCAGTTATGGTCCCCTCGGGTCCGTCGCCCGAGCTCTGCTCACCCACCCTGCCCAGCAAAGCCCGGCCGCTCACCAGCCTCGGCCCAGCTCCCACCTTTATCGTGCAGCCGCACTCCGAGGTCGCCGCGGGCGCGCCCGTAGGAGCTCTCGAGGTCTGCCGAAGAGAACGTATCAAGTTTGACCTTCTTGACCAGGAAGGACCTGGGCATGATTCCTGCGGAGACGGGCTTGGGGGCTGTGGCCGCGGCGGGCCGTCACCGTCCGCGGAGTAGGGAGGCGGCGCGGGTCTCCACGCTGGCCTTCGGGGCTGCCGCACTGCTGCCGTCCTCTCCAAGGCTTCCTGCCCTGCGTCGCCTCCTTGGGCTTCCTCTTCTTCCTCCTCTCTCTTCTTCCTTCCTTCTCCCTCCTCGCTCTTCTCCCCTCTCCTCGCCTCTCCTCTCCTCTGTCCTCTCCTCTCTTCTCTTCCTTCCTTCCTTCCTTCCCTCCTCTGGTCCCGGCTTCCCAGCCCGCGGTGCCGCCCCTGGACAGGCGGGGGAGGAGGCTGGGGGAGCGGAGGGGGGGAG